GTTTAAATACATCACTGTAGTGTTTATTCACACAGATTATATAACATGATAAGAAGCTTCCAAAGAAAACCTTTTTAAATTAAACCAGATCATTTAGTGAGGACAAGAATAATAACCACAATATTGGGCTGGGAGTGTAGCTTAGTGGTAAGAGCATATGCTTAGCATGTGTGAGGACCTACGTTCAATCACCAGCACCTAAAACATAATATTAATGCTGACTATTCTTGAAAATATCCCAATCTAAATTGCACGTAAGGTAACAAGCTTCAAAAACCTCTTTGTAGCAACTGTGTGATCCTATCAACATTTTTCCCTTTAATAGTTTTCACTGGTCTATTATTCGTTGAAACAGGGAGTATCTTTTCCCAACTCATAAACAGACAATGAATCAGTCAACACCAAGGTGAAAATTTCCCCAGCGTCTTCTAAAAATTTCAAATTTGGAAGTTAATAACTGTATTCTTTAAAAATGGAGAAGGGTTGATGGTATAGCTTGGGGGAAGAGCGCTTGCCTAGCATGTACAGGCCTAGGTTTAATTCCTAGTACCACCACACACACACACACATACACACACACCCACACACAACCACACACAACCACACCCACACACAACCACACACAACCACACACACACACACACAACCACACCACACACACACACATACACACACACACAACCACACACACACACACACACACACACACACACCACCAATACAAAAAAAACTTAGCCAGGCATGGTGGTGCACACTGACAATTGGGAGGCTAAGCAGGAGGATCTCTTGAGGCTAGCCTAGACTGTGTAGCAAGATCCTATCTCCAAAAAAAAAGGAGAATGGGAGGGAGGGGGGAAAAGTAGGAAAAGGAAGGTAAGAAGAGGAGGGAGGGAGGAAGGGAAAAAGGGAAGGAGGAAGGAGAAAAAAGAAAGCAGGAGCTCACTGAATCTTGTCTGGCCCTGGGAGATCAAAATACATGCTATTAATTAAAACACGCAGCTTTCTCTGGACACAGTAAGCATAGATTTCTGGTAAAACAATGTTAAGATTTCTTTTTGAGGCCCCCAGATTTAAAATTCCTTTGAAGATCTTTCACTAAAACTACCAGATAAAAAATGATGCATGACCCAAGCATAGTAGTTCACATCTGTAATCCTAGCTACTCAGGAGGCAGAGATCAGAAGATCATAGTTTGAGGCCAACCCAGGCAAATAGTTCTCAAGACCCTATCTCAAAAACAGCCAACAAAAAAGGGCTGGTGGAGTGTCTCAAGCAGTAGAGCACCTACCTACCAAGCATGAGGCCCTGAGTTCAAACCCCAGTACCACACATAGACAAAACAGAAATCTATGATAAAGAACCTTTTAAGGAAATACACCTTAAAAACATCACACTGAAGCCAGGCTCATGCCTGCAATCCTATCTACTCAGGAGGCAGAGATAAGGAGGATGTCTGTTTGAAGCCAGCCTGCACAAACAGTTTTCAAGACCCTATCTTGAAAAAAAAAAAGCCTTCACAAAAAAAGGGCTGGTACAGTAGCTCAAGGTATAGGCCCTGAGTTCAAATCCCAGTACCACCAAAAAAAAAAAAATCACACTGCTCAAAACCAGATATACAATAAAATCAAATCCAGACAAAGATAGGGAGAAATTGGAACTTTAGGGACTGCTGGTGGGAATGGAAAGTGGTACAGCTTCTGGGGAAGGCAGTATAGTTGTTACTCAAAAAGTAAACCCAGAGGTCTGGGGTGTGGCCCAAGCAGCAGAGTACCTGCCTAACAAGCTGCAAGGCTTGCGTACAAACCCCAGTGATGCCAATAAGGAAACAAACAAACGCAGAACTGGGGATGGTGGTGCAAGCCTATAATCCCCCCCCTCAGGAAGTAGAAGCAGAAGGATTGTGAGTTTGAGGCTACATAGCAAGTTCAAGATCAGCCTGGGCTATACAACAAGACCCTGCCTCAAAAAAAAAAAAAGATTAAACATAGAATTACCATATGATCCAGTAAGCTTACACCCTGGCATAAACCCAAAAGAACTGAAAGACTGAACCAGGTATGTGTATACCAGTGTTTACAGCCGCCCTGTTCACAATGACCAAAAGGCAGAAATCATGCAAGTGTCCATCAAGAGAAAAAACGGAAGGACTAGGGACCTGGCTCAAGTGGCAGAGCCAGGCCCTGGGGATAGGGATGGGATACATGAATGAACAAACAAAATGAGATATGTACATACAATGCACAGCAAATCGATTTTTTTTTTTGAGACTGGCCTTAAATTCTTGATCCTCCTACACCACCACACCCAGCTAAAACTATAACATATTATTCAGCCTTTAGTAGGAATAAAATCCTGATACACGCTACAACACGGATAAAGCTTGAAAACATTATGCCAAGTACGATTAAGTAAAACAAAAAGGCAAATATTGTATGATTCCATTTATATAAGGTACCTAAAATAGTCATTTCACAGAAACTGGAAGCAAAATAGTAATGAGCAGAGAATGGACAGAGGAGGAGAAGTTTTATTTTGTTGCACTGCAGCTTTTGGGAACTAAACCGAGGGCTTCATCCACACTAGACAAGGGCTCAGTCACTGGCTATACCCCCAGAAAGAAGTTATTATTTCATGGGTAGGTATTTCAGTTTGGTATGATAAAAAAAAAGTTCTAGAATTGGATAGTGGGGGTTATAAGTCACTGTATCCTTAGAAATGATTGAAAAAGTAAATTTTGTACTGGAGGTATGGCTCAAGAGCACCTGCTTTGCAAGTGTGAAGCCCTTAGTCAAACCCCAGTCCCACCATAAATACACACATACATAATACATAAAAAGTAAATTTTACATTGGGTATATTTTACTACTATTTAAAAACAAATTGAAATAAATTTGCTCATCTAAAATTCTAGGTCTTCTGTGTCTCTAACTCACCAGCTTTCTCTACTTTTTCTACCTCCCTATGGTATTCAAAAATTTCTTATAGGGCTGGCAGAGTGACTCAAGTTATAGAAAGGGCTAGATTGTTCTCTTTTATAGGCACTCTACTGCTTGAACCACACCTCCAGTCATTGTCACTTCTTGACTAGCCAACCAGTCCACTCTTTACCACTTGCCTATTTTCTTTCTCTTCATATCAAATATAAATTGGTATTTTCCTGTTCATTTCAATAATTAGCTCCATTAGAACATTTGGCACGGGGCTGGCAGAATGGCTCAAGCAGTAGAGTACCTACCTGCAAGTGTAAAGCCCTGAGTTCAAGCCCCAGCACCACCAAGAAAACAAAACAACAAAGAGTGCCTGGCATAATGCAGGTATTCGATAAATACTTATTAACTTTGGTAATTACCCTACAATGTTTACATCTCCCTTTATCCATCACTGATTAACTACATGTCTAACAGGTCAATGCTGACCTTATTAAAAAGTACGGGGGCTGTAAGAGCAGCACAAGTGATAGAGCATATGCTGAGCAAGCAGGAGACCCTGAGTTCAAACCCCCATATCACCAAATAAATAAATAAAGTTTAATCAAGAATTTATAAAACCAAACAAAAACAAAATATTATCAAGGGGCTGAGAGTAGAGTATGTATTGTGTATGCATGAGGCCCTGGGTTCAATCCCCAGCACCACAAAAATCAGACAAAGAAGAAAAAAGTAGGATAAGAAATCCTAGCTTGGTACCTGTGGCTCACGCCCGTAATCCTACCCACTCAGGAATCAGAGATCAGGAGGATCGAGGTTCGAAGCCAGCCCCAGGCAAATAATTTGTGAGACTTTATCCCGAAAATACACAATACAAAAATGGGATGGCTGAATGACTGAACTGGTAGAGCACCTGCCTAGCAAGCGTAAGGCCATGAATTCAAGCCACAGTAGCAAAACAAAAAGGCATCATACAACTTTTTTACTCTTTGCCTAAAAATTCCTTGATTCACTTTCTCTTTCAATACACTGGTTTCTAAGCAAAAGGTTACTACTTTTACACAAGAGTTAAGTCCTTAACTTAAGAGTTAAGTTTTTGATTTCAAACTTTCTTACTTCCTCAGGATAAGAAATTTATCACTTTCTGTAATATTTAAACTATTCTAATGCTCTTTTACCTAATATACACTACTTGCTAGTGCTAAAATACCTAGCAAGCGAGACAATCCCTGGCAGAACATGCATGTTTTATTAACAATATAAGTAGTCCATGTTATTTTTACTATCTAAACCAATGGAACTGAGAATAAAAATGGGCTTGGAAAACAGCTGGGCATTAACAGACCTGTATGACGTCTGAACCAAAATACAGTCACTGTAACCACAACTCCAGTGCTCAGGGAGGTGATGCTGCACCCTAAGTACCTACATGGTGGTTTAGTAAATGAATTAAGAGCTGAAATACTCAGACTTTATCACCTCTGTCTACTCTTCACTCAGTTCAGTCATAAACATCTCCCTTGAACTTGATCCTGCTGGGATCATCCATGACCTAACTGCCAAATCCAAAATGAATCTCTTAGCCAGGCATGGTGGTGTACTCCTGGAACCCCAGCGTTAGGAGGCTAAGGCAGGAAGACCTCAAGTTCGAGACTACCCTGGGTTACACAGTGAGCCCCACCGCACCCCACCCAGGCTGGTGATACAGATCAGTGGTAGAACACTTGTCTAGCTTGCATAGTGTCCTGGGTTCGATCCCCAGCACCACCAAACACAACATAGTAAGACCCTGTCTCAAGAAACCAAAAGCTTCTTCAGTTGTCAGTTAACCTCCTTAAAAAGTTTTCCACTACTACTTTCGACCCCTGCCCTTTTTCCTTCATGAAGCTCTGTTCTTAACTCTGTGTTACATAACCCTAAATATCAGACTGTCTTAAAGCAAATCCTAGGATTTCCAACACCTCAGAGATTTACTAAAACATTCAGAATCTAACCAATATTCACATTTTCCTTCCATATTTAACTTCTAGAAAACTAATGTAAGAGATTAAAAATGTAAAATTGGGTACTCACCTCAAAATGATAGCTCCCATTTCAATCTTTTAGGAAAATGGGTGACATTACTTATTTTTAAAACTGAAATTTTCTTGGAAGACTTTTTCAGATTGGAAGATTCACTACAAAAAAAAAAAAGGTTGAAGACAAGAGGTATTAGTCTAAATGGGCAATGCTGAAATTTTATTACTTATGTGCTATTCACTTGCTCACGACTATCCACATTTTAAAATATAGGGGCTGAAGAGCTAATGAAGTTAAAGAGTTTTTATTTTGTTTATTAATATCTGGTGCTCCTTTGCTCTCAATTTATGACCTTTTTTTACTGCACTGTCTTTTTCTTATTAACTAATAGACTATATACATTCAGGATCAAGTCTGGCTACATTAAATTGCCCATGCAAAATAAAAATGTAAGGCCTTTTCATCAAGATGATACCATAAGCAAAGAAAGAGCCTGAAGCCAAAAGCAAAAGCTTTGAAGGCCAAAACTGCAAAGCTGAAAGGAATCTATACATCAGCTATCTCTGGCTGCCCACACCACTGTGGCTCTAAAGACAGCCCAAAAATCCTAGCAAAAGCACCCCAAGGAAAAACCAACTTAACCACTATGCATCATCACTCTACTCCCCACCACTGAGAAGACAACAAGACTTACTTAAGTTCACTGTGGACAGCAAGGCAATAAGCACCAGATCAAACAGGCTGGGAGGCTCTATGACACTAGAGTCACCAAGGTCAACACCCTGATCAAGTCTGATGGAGAGAACACAGCATAAATTCAACTGGATCCTGACTATGATGCTTTGAATGTAGTCAGTAAAACTGGGATCATTTAAACTAAGTTCAGCTGATTCTAAATGTAAATTATTTTGGCCATTAAGACATTTTTAATAAGTAAATAAATATAAATTCAGGGCTGCTCATTCAAAACTTAAGACTTCTGAAATAGGGCTGGCTTAGCATTAAACTAAGCATGACTTTTTTTTTTTTTTGGTACTGGGGTTTGAACTCAGGACCTACACCTTGAGCCACTTCACCAGCCCTTTTTTGTGTTGAGTATTTTCGAGATAGGGTCTTGCAAACTATTTACAGGCTGGCTTCCAACTGTGATCCTCTGATCTCTGCCTCCTGAATAGACAGGATTACAGGCATGAGCCATAGGCATCCGGCACTTGAGTTCTTCTTAAGTGAGCAGCACTGTGTGACTGCACAGTGTATACCATGAAGCCAGCCATATTTACGACATGAAAATTCTCTCTCTCTCTCTCTCTCTCTCTCTCTCTCTCTATGTATTTTCTCTATTATATATTCATATGTCTCTATTATATATATAAAAGAATTAAGTTTTCAACAAATTTATGGTTTATCTTTTCATTTTCTTTATGGTGTCTTTTAATGAACATGAATTTTAAAAATAAGAGTAATGTCTTAAGACAATATCAAAGTATATCAAACTGCTTATTTCCTAAAAGTATGAGAATTACTCAACACAAAAATAACTAATTTAAGCCAGGTGCCTGAAATCTCAGCTACCTGGGAAGCTGAGAGCAGCCAGAGGATCATGGTTTGAGGCCAGCTCAGGGAAATAGTTTTCAAGGCTCCTTCTCAAAATAATCACAGCAAATGGACTGGAGGTGTGGCTCAAGCGATATAGCACCTACTCTGCATGTGTGAAGCCCTGAGTTCAAACCCCAGTCCTACAAAGAAAAAAAAACAAAAAGCTTGAGTATTTAAAAGGGGTAACAGAAGTCGGGTGAACAACTCTATATAATCCCAGCACTTGGGAAACTGAGGAAGGAGGATCATGAGATAAAGGTCAGCCTAGGTCACATAGTGAGACCTTGTCTAAATTAATTAATTAAAGGAAATACTTCAATTGAGAGGGAAAAAAAACACAATGTGACAAATATAGGCTAATAATAAAATAAGCATACTGTTTACTCTTCTTGAACCTGATAGTTTTTCCCCCGGCAGCCTACTAAGACAACTACAACCTTTAATATTTCCATCTATAAATCATGTATGGACTATCAAGGAAAAGAATGCAAGTCCTGGCAGTGGTGAAATCTATGCTGAAACCTTCTGAGAAAGACCACCGAGATCTCCAGAATGAGCGTCTAAGGCCTGCACAAATCCACCATGCTATACAGCCTTAAGATTTATGATTCTTCTCCAGTACTGCCACGTATGTGTTCTACTTCAGAGGAAACATTATAAATCAAGGTATTACTATTTCTACTTCAAACCCTATGAAGTAGTTAAGGAAAGTTCACAGAAAAGAAAAAAAAAATTACCAGGCATTATGATGCATACCTGTAAACCCCAGATACTTGGGAGACTTGGGCAAGAGGATTTCAAGGTTGAGGACAGCCTGGGCAATTTAGTGAGACCTTGTCCCAAAATAAAAAGGACTGGGTGTGTAGCTCAGTGATAGAGCACTTGCCTAGCAAGCACAAGACCCTGGGTTCAATCCCCAGTGCTGAAAAAAATAAGTAAAATAAAAACCTGTATAAAAACATCATTTTCCACATATCAGTTTGCCAAAAATCCCAAGATTCTTTGTTGTAAAGAAATATACATCTCTTTTTATGGAAGTAGTATGGGCCCCAACTTAAGGGAAATTGGAAATATATATTGTAATTATATACTTATATAATTATTTAATATATATTTATATATTTCTTATATATTATATGCAATATATATCAAAGTATGTAAGACCCTTGATTAGTACCATCATGTGAAAATTTATTCTATATGTATAAAAGAATAAAATAATTGGACTGGGTGCTGGCATCTCACCCCTGTAATCCTAGCTACTTACAAAGCAAAGATCAGGAGGATCATAGTTTGAAGCCAGCCAGGGCAAATAGTTCATAAGACCTATCTCAGAAATAACACAAAAAAAGTGCTCGCACAGTGGCTCAATTGATAGAGCGAATGCCTAGCAAGTATGAGTTCAATCCCCAGTACCGCCAAAAAACAAACCAAGCATAAAATGATAAAATAACTGTTACACAAGGTTACTCACCATAGCACCGTTATGATAACAAGAAGCTGTAAACAAGCTGGGCACTGGTGTCTCACCCCTGTAATACTAGCTACTTGGGAGGATGAGATTGGGAGGATTGCCAGCCAGGGAAAATAGTTCATAAGACCCCATTTCCAAAAATCACCAGACCAAAATGCAAAAAAGACTAGGTGTGTGGCTAAGGAGTAGAGCACCTGCTTTGTAAGCACAAAACACTGAGTTTAAAAAAAAAAAGTGTAAATGATCTAAATGTTTACAAATAAACAATTGGGTAAATAAATTATTTTAAAATAAGTGAATGCTAAACAAGCTAGAATATATACAGGCAGATATACAGAATCATCTTCCTTTTCCTTTGGCTCTGCATCCACAGGTTCAACCAACCACTGATTGGAAATATTCAAGAAAAAAATTTTGTCTGTACTGAACATACACAGGCTTTTAAAATTCTTATCATTGTTCCCTAAATAAAATTGTATATTTACACAGCATTTACACTGCATTAGGTATTATAACTAACGTAGTGATGATTCATGAAGCACATGTATGTATGTGATGACTATGGACTTTTATACAAGGGACTTGAGCATCCACGCATTTTGGTACCCTTGGTGTGTTCTGGAAGGAATCTCCCTTGGATAGTGAGGGAAAACTATACTCTGTAAAGATCTGTGTAGTTCACTGTTTAGTGAAAAGCACACTGTGCAAGGGGAAGGATGGGAAGACCAATCTACAAAACAATGGATATAATATGCTACTTTTTATATTTAAAAATATTGTGGATTGTGGCTTGGCTCAAGTGGTAGAGTACCTAGCAAGCACAAGGGCCTGAGGTCAAATTCCAATAGTGCAAAAAAAAAAAAAAAAACTAAAAAATAAAATATTGCTACTTTAATGGGAACCTATTACTATCACATAGACTAGTAAATAAACCAAAATGGGGTCTAAATACTATCAACATATACACAATGACAGCAACTATTCTACTACATCTGGAACTGAGATTTCACCATTGAATTCTGAAGTGTGGCCATATTCAACTGGCTTAGGTCCTCAACCCAAAATCCAACACTAGTCCCATTAAGAAAGGATATTTCAAAAGAAAAAAAAAAAAAGGAAAATAAAAGAAAGGATATTTCCTCTACGATTCCACTGTGCTTCTCTTGGAGGTTAACCTCTTCTCCCCTAACAACATCTCACCTTAGCCTTCTTTCATTCTCACCTAGAAGACCTGGGGTATTCTGTTCATCCACCACAATTAAGTTGTGGTCTAATAAATAAGGGAACCTTAAAAAGGGAGACATCCAGAGTTTGCTGCCAATAATATTTGTTCCTTAAGCTAAAACAATAAGGAAACATGACCTGAATCATCCCATTAACATCATCATCTTTCGTTTACCTAAAATGCCAAACACTACTTAGATTAAATTCTGGCAATATCAAGACAAAAGAGGCTAGGTTCTAAACCTATGGTTCCTGTGCAAATGCTGCCCACTCCATCACCCCTGGGCCAGGTCCAATGTACCTACACAAGCACACTTTCCCTAGAACTGTTCCTGATTCCCCCAGGTTCACTCACATGCGTTCCTGCTGTGACGTGCATGTACCTTACTCATTATAACACATTAAAAATGGTGACTTGCCCTCGGCACCAGTGGCTCACACCTGTAATCCTAGCTACTTGAAAGGCTGATATTGGAGTACTGCAGTTTGAGGTCAACCTGGGCAAATGTTTGTGAGACCCAACCTCCAAAATAACCAAAGCAAAAATGGACTGAAGGTTTGGCTCAGGTGATAGAGTGCCTGCTTTGCAAGTGCAAGGCCCTGACTTCAACCCCCAATCCCACCAAAACCAAAACAACAAAAAAAGGGTGGCTACTTCCTTGTCTCCTACTAGACACTGTGAATCCCTCAGAACAAGGTGAAAGTCATATAATTATAATACAAATACCAAGCAAAGTGCCTTTGCATATGCAGGTAATCAAAGATAAAGATATTCATCAAAAGAATTCAAGAAACCACAGCAGCTGCAATGCCACACAATATTCTACCCAACCCTAAAGGCATTTTACTTTGTTCAATTCTCATTCTAAGGGAAATAACAGCTATATGTCACACTTTTCCGTAGTAAAATGAATCAATCCTTCAAATTTAATCATATATATATGATTTAATCATATATATATGTGTGTGTGTATATATACACACACACATATATATATGAAACTGGAAATATGGTGGTTCAGAGATAGAGTACTTTCAGGTGGGAGGCTTTGAGTTCTATCCCTAGCACCACAAATAAAATGTCTCCTTCTCCTATCACCCAACCCCTAGTACAGGGAGTGAACCCAGGGTCTTATTCATGAGCTCCAACATTTGAGCCATACCCCCAGCCCTAGAGTGGTAAGTTTTGCTGGTTTGTTTTGGGGTTTTTTTTAGTGATAAATTTTTATGACCTTTTATTCACTGGTTCTTTGTGTGTGTCTGTTGTTGTTGTTGTTCCTGTTCAGACCAAAAAAATCACATAAAATGATCATGGACTTCCTAACATGTCACTCTAGAAAATAACTTCAGAGTTCAGACCATTCATTTATAGATTTTTCATTGTTTTTTAGGCCCCAGTTTATAGTCAACATTCCGAAAAGTTAATTGGCTTAGTTTTTACTTTCCCTTTCAAGATAGTGGTCATTCACTGGACATACAGTCACCTGCATTCATTTTG